CCTGAAAGCAAATGTGCTGTGCACCACAACTGGTAGTCAGTGCTGACTCCTACCTCCCCAGGAGGGAGAGAAATGAAATCAGTGGCGTAGGAGAGCCCTGGGGAGAATGACAGTGAGCTCTCAGGCAGGTGAGGGGCTGCACACCCTCCAGTCTGCTCTTGGTGACATTTGAGACTTAACAACTGTAGATCAGGTCAAAACTTGGCCTCAAAACTCCCTCTAGGAACTGGGCAAACAAGTTTATTCCCCAGGAGATGCCAAAGGCTCCAGAGATACACTTCAAAACCACATGAACAATAGAAAATTCACATTTATATACATTTATATGCATTCCTGAGCCTTTTGTTGTGCTTGAGGCTGATACTGCTCCAGCCACACAAACACATCTCCAGCTTGGCCTGCAATGGTCCTCTCGGTGCTGGTTCTCTCAGCCTGTGCTCCCCCAGCTCCAACCTCCCCAGTCACTGCAGAGCAAGTCCTGTCCAGCATCTGTTTTAGGGCTTTCCTTTCCACACAAGAACAATAGGAATGACAAAGTCCACCAGAGTAGGGATATTCCTCTAATCCCATAGGAAACGTCACAACTGTGTCCTGAAACAATACAGCTCTGCACTGCAAGCTTAGCTCCACCAAGGAAAGGAGGAAAGAAGGCACCTGACAGTAATTAACTGCTGTGGATTTGATGGGAAGTGACAGCTCCTTCCCATCACTCCAACACCCACGGTGGGTGGGTGACACAGCTCCTAGAGCCAGCAGTGAGGAGCTGCTCCTGGCTCTGCTCAGAAGTTACTGCTGAAGGACCTTTCAAAGGGGTTAAAAGAGGCATTTTACTCAACTCCCAGTGATGCTGCTGAGGCATCACCACAGAGGGACTCGTTCTCCTCCACCCTGAACTCGTCCTATTTCATACAATCCCAGAATCATTGAGGCTGGAAAATGCCTTCAAGATCACCAGGTCCAACCTTCAACCAGAACTGCACGTTGGCTGCCATTCCATCACCAGGAGGAGGATCCAGGCCATCCCCACAGCATCAGAAGATGAAATCCTTCCTTTTTCACCAAGCAAATCCATCCATCAACATGTTAAACAAACAAGTTTAATGTAGGTGGCATGTTTCATACAGAATCCTGCAGGCACCCAAAACACCAGCTGGTGCCATGTTCTGAGGAGCTAACAAGGTGAAACTCCAACACTTCAGTCTCGTTCATGAATTCGCAGGCACAGCAACAGGCCAAGGAAGCTTCCAGCTTCACCACCACATGGATCAACAGCCCCAGGCCCAAGCTGGAATTCCTCTGGCACCCAAACACCTGGGAAGCTCTGGAGGGAGCAGAACTAATGGGAGAGTCTCCAAAGGGTTGGGATAGACATATGCCTCCCAAATCAGTATTCCTGGTATTTTTCCTAATTGCTCCTCAGGCCATTTTTAACCCAGTAATAAAATAGTAATATTTAAAGTAAAGAGAGGGAGGAAGCAAAGAAGGGAGGGAGAAAGGGAGGGAAGGAAAGAAAACAAACCATCTCTCTCATTGTTTAGGATGGAATTGCCATGAAGGAATGCTGAAATGAAAGGTTCAATGAGTTATACAGTAAAAGGAGCCTGATCCATCCCTCCCAGCACTGATGAATTTGGAAAGGGTCAAAACTCCAAAAGAACATGAATTTCCCCCACTGGGGCAATTTGCAACTGCATAACATGAAATATTTCTGGCAAACCTCATTATAAGCCACTTGTTTGGCTCCTAAAAAGCAGAAAGTTGAGCTTCCCCTTACTTGTGTTCTCCAAAGATTTGTGTTTCCCCTTTAATCAAAATGCCAAGTTTTTCAGTTAAACTGAATGGGGAAAAAAGTTTACTCTTTGCATAAACTTAATACAACATTCACTCTGCCTCTTTCTCCCTCCTCCCTCAGTTGTGACTTGGCTTCCCTTGAGCTTGTAAGAAAGTTTTAGAATCTCGGTTCCTTGAGAAGAAAATACTTCAACAAAATAGCCCTAAAAGCTTTAAAAAAAAAAAAATTTAAACCCAATGAATTTACATTCTGAACCATTACCAAGATCTTGCAATCTCCTGGGGATGTTGTGAGGTTTAATTAGCTCCAGTTGGAAAACGCCTTGAAGAGGAAAAGTGCCAAGTATTGCTCTGCTCAGGTAGAGCTAAAATATTCCTATTATTACATCACAAAACAAATAATTTGACAATTAACTCCTCTTCCTCGCCAGCATGACCTCAAAGGGACCTCACCATGCCCACCAGACTGGTAGGATCACACCACCTGAGTGCTGCAAAGTGTCCAAGTGCTGGTAATGACCAAACATGAGTTTTTTGAACTTCACAGAGCCTTTGAGATCTCCTCAACTGCTTAATCTTGGGGTTGTCCATGAGCCATGGCAGACCTGAGCTTCAGGGCGTCTGGCTGTGGGTTCTTGGCCACCTTTGTACAGACAACTGGAGAATCACTTCCCACTGTCTTCTAAGCAGCTTAGCCCCAAGGTCTCTTTTGAGGAACACACATTTAGCAGGTGCTATCTTGGTAAGGACATGCCATTTTCCCTTGGGATGCAGTATTGAATCTGCATGCAGAGAGCCCATGGGAACTCTGAGCAGCAAAATTGGCTTTATTGAAGTAAGATGTCAAAGTGAGGCTTAACCAAGTCTGATGACAAGGTTCAATCTACTACTTCCTTCACAGAGGACATGATAACGATCCAAAGCTCCCAAGACAGGATTTTAATGCTCTGTGACACAAGGTTATGTGCAATATCAGTCACTTACCAAAACCTGCTGTTGGTGAGGGGCCTGTGAGCCTCAATGAGTCACTCTGAGAGGTGTCCCAGCTCAAGGGGAGATTCCCACCATGCAGGAGCTCAGGAGAAGCTCGATCAGGCTGTCATATTTATGGAATAAAAAGTGGTTGGCACATAGTCAAATTACATGTGATGAAAAAGGTACAACATGAGACTCCTTGTACCCACAACCTCCTTCATCCCTGGCTCAAATTAGTGCTGGAAGAAGCACCTGCTATTCATGTGTTAATCGCATGATCACTGCTGTGCTTTACAAGCTCATACACATCAAAGCTCCCTGTGTCACCCTGTTCCTGTGGGGGTTTTCAAAGAACAGCTTGAAACTAGAGAAGTTCATGACCTGGTGACAGCTCAGACATTTACTTCCTTCAGAGCCTCAACCAAACCACCACCAGTATGGCCAAGCAGCTGAAAGTATCCAGCACAGAGCATCAAGCTGTGGGGAGGCAGCAGAGCCCACACACACACACACACCACGGATCATCCTTGACTCGAGGAGTGCTGAAGCACAGCTACTCCAAGGTGAAACAAGGTCTCTCCATCCCAGCAGCCTCCAGGCTGTGCCTCCTGCACAGGACAAGGGGATCTGCTCCTGGCTGTGTCCCACCAGGCTCCTGGCTGCTCTCTCAGCTCACACCAGGGCTGTTTCCTGGCCATCTGTGACAGGTTTTCTGCAGGAATTCTTGAGCAAATCCACCCCAGGAGTCTCAGAGTTTCCACACCAGCGCTGCAGTGCCCCGGGCTGGCAGCTGTACTGGGGAGGAAAGCACTGGGCTGGGAGTTACTGGGGATTCTCTCTGCCCACAGAGCTGTAGCTCAGAGGTGCAGGACACTCGGGACCTGTGGTGCAGAGTGATCCCAGAAAAGGCTCTGGGAAGCCTTTGGGAGGAAACTTCCAGAGCAGTTTGTGACAGATGCTGGTGCTGCATCTTCGCTGCAGGAACAGCCTTTGGCTCTCTTGGGGCTGATCTAAAGTTCACACCACCATGGCCTGTTATGATCAGCTCTGCCTGTTCAGCTGCATCCCCTGTAACTCAACAGTGAGAGAATTTCTGGGCTCCACACAGAAGTTTCTAAACCTACACATCACAGTATGTCAGCAAAAGCCTGCAACACTCCCAAGCTGCAAGGTGAAGCATCTTTCCCTGTGTGCAAACCTGCTTGTTCCCAACCACACTCAGCTCTGACAAAAGAACAGTCACGTAATTCCAGTCTTGCTTCTTCCACTGTGATTGACCCCAAAGAATTCAGCGAAAGAGCAATATTCCATTATAAGGAAAAGCAAACAAACAAAATTAGAGTAAAAATAAACTTTAGGCCGATTCTGGGCTCCACAAATAGTTACAGTGACATTTCATATCAAGATCAGTAAAGCTAAGCCTAATATCAACTCTCTTTTTGAGCTGAGGTGACCTCCCTCACTGAATTTGTGCCATTTCAGACTGCACTCACCTCCAATCTCTCCTAGGTAAGACAGTCTCACCTCCCCACACTCCGTGAGACAGGAGAAGCTCTGTGAGAGAACTGGAACTAATCAATCCAGGGAAAAGCAGAACCAAATGCCAAGATCTAACCACTAAGGATCACTCCAATAGGTTCCCCTTAATCACTGCAAAATGAGGACAGATTTGCCATGACTGGGAATTTCAAGAGCACATGACACCAAACCCTGTTCCCATCCCTCCCCTGGAGAGACTCAGTTACTCAGCACTAAGTGCCTGGAAAGGACAAAGCCAACCAAAGCTATAGAATCACCTTAAAGTGGATGGAACAGCACAGGAGCAAATGTATGTCTTGCACAGGACTAAAAATAAACCAGGAAAAAACCCAACCCAAATCCCTACAGCTTGCTGGATTTGGTCCCATATTCTTAGTAAGGAATATGCAAATGCAAACTACATCCAGGATAACAAGTCCAGTAAGATATGTATTACATGGCTGAGACATTAAGGAACATTGTTAGAAGAAGGATGAAGATGGATTAAGGGTGTGGGGAGGAAAGTTATCTCCAGACAAATCCTTGCCTTTTCCATACCCACAGGAACAGCAGCAAAACAGGCTCCAAAGTACTAAAACCATCTCATATTAACCTGCTCTGTGCAAAGAACAAAACACCTATTAAGAGCTGCACTTTGCTAACAAATGGCACCTTGAAAAGACCCAAATTCCAGACACAAAGACACGAAATCCTCGATTAAAATCAGCACTGATCAAGAAATTAATTTCTATGCAAAAGAAAAGAGGCTACTGACACATTTTGGGGTGGAAGAAAAGTCACCTCCCGAGCCCACATGCGCTTGGTTTTATTTACATATCCACAAATACCATGAAACACCAGCCCAGGCCCCCCACCAGCAGCATGGTCACATGGATCCCATAGATGAGCAGTTCATTCATGAGGCTGAAGTCCACACGCCTCCGCCCCAGGAGGAGGAGGATGATGGAGAGTTTGTACTGGAAACGCAGGAAGATGCGGATGCCAAGGTACTGAAGGCAAAACAGGATGGAGAGTGCCACCCAGAGGATGGAGGTAAAGAGGCTGCAGCTGAAGTACAGCAGGAACCGGATGAAGCCGTACATCCATCGGGACTTGAGATAGATGTCGAAGTTGTTGTACTTGGTGCGCACCAGGTGGCTGGTCCTGACGGGGCCACAGGCCGAGTGCAGGCAGGTCGTGTGGGGGCCGTGGAACGAACGCACCCGCCGCGGGATGGGGATCACAGGCATCAGGCACCACAGCCCTCACCGAGCCCCAGGGCAGGACTGACAGGACACATATCAAACGGCAGCCGGCAGGGGGGAAGGGATCCCACAGCCCGGGAATGCTAACTCGGTGCTGAGTTTCCAGGAAGGAAGAGACCTGCAGGATGGGAGAAGGAAACAGTTAGAGGAAGGAACCGTTGGAGGAGGCCACGAAGCTGATCAGAGCACTGGAGCACCTTCCCTATGAGGACAGGCTGAGGAATTTGGGGCTC